TCCCTAAGCTGGAAACAATTATGAGTTAAATGAATGAAGAAAGAGTGAAAGGAAACTGTAATGTTATCTGGATGCTTTATTAAATGCTGAAAGCCACAGTCAACAAGCTTACAAGAAGGTTTCAGTTTAAAAACTGGCACCAGATCTACAGAAACAGTCACTAAAGAGGATGCAGTCAACAAGCCAGAGGGCAAATCCACCCTCCCGAGGGACCTGCGTGGGCTGGGGGAAAGGCCAACAGCAACCTCAGGAGACCCAGCATGGCCAAATGTGAAGCTCTGCTGCTGAGATGCACTCAGCCCCTGCACAGGGACAGGCCCAGATGCTGGGCTGGGGACAGCTCTGCTGGGAAGGCCTTAGTGTGAGGAGAGGTTGAAGGAACAGGGCTTCTTGGTGCAGAGGAAAAAGCTTTGGGGGTACCTAAAAGCAGGCCCCCAGTACTGACAAGGAGGTTTCTGAGAGGACAGAGCCTTCTCGGAGCTTCATGATGAGAACACGAGATAGAGCTCCTCACCTGAAAGGGAGGCATGTGACTGTGTATATGGAAAAAGATTATCACGTGGGTAACTAAGCTTTGGAGCATCCAACATCACTCGATGACAATCATCAGATAAACTCATGATTGGCCAAACTGAAGCCTTACAAAATTGATCGCGACAAGGAAATCACTTGAAAAGTACAACTTAATGCAGACAAATAGAGGGGTCCTATCTCTGCAAATCAATTAAAAGTCACACAAGGTAGCAGACAGCATCCTCTGTCACTGAAAAGGTCTTTTGATGAAAATAACTGATTACAACACAGGTCTCTACATCACTTCTGTAGCTGGATACATAAGCAGAAGGCTAGTGAGGCTGAATACTGAGATAATCTTTGTCTAGCACTTGTGAAAACAGATGTTGATTCTGCCCAAATCTGTTGTACAGCCTTCCAAAAGTTACAGATATCTTGCAAAGTGCGTGGGGAAGAACTATAGAATTACCAAAGCTGCATAAACAATCACATGCAAAAAACTCATGTAAAAGTGACTTGATGATCACTGGCTGAAGGAAGCTGGAAAGGAAGAAGTTCAGTAACTGACAGCTCCTTCCTTAAGCTGAAGGAGACTCCCGAGGGCTGGAAGCTGAAGCTGCACTAACTCAGATCTCAGATAAGACACAGTTTTTTAAAGCAATTAATTGAACAACTTACCTCTGAACTTTGCACGATTCTTACATCTCAAAACTGAAAAGCTACAACTAGGTGCTCAGGTATAAGCCGTAGATTTAATGCAAAAATTAAGAGGTCCCTTATTCAGGAAGACATAATAACAGTCGCTTCTACCCTGATCTGTAACACAAACATTCATAGCACAACTGTTTTCCAAGAATCAGTAATAAGGATTTGATATCTATGATGTGAATTCTTCCAGCATCTGCAAGGCAGCAGTCCTTTTTGATGACTTAATACCAGCCTACAGAACTGAACAAACTCCAGTCTCACATTTTCAATAACCAGAGGCAGGCTTCAGATTAGCTCTTAACCTCTCAGGCAGCCACACTTAGCCTGAAATGTCAGCAAAGGGATCCCAGGATTTCAAATCTGAAATTACATCAGTGAAATACCGAGTCATCTCCTCCAGGAGAAGCACACAAGACAGCTAGAGGTGCACTTTTTGGCTGTTACAAGCCATATACTCCCACACTGTCAAATGACCAAAGGCATTCACTTATAGTATGTCACACAGGGACATTTGTATACAAAACTATTTGCATACAGTTATATTTGCACATCTGATTATGGCTTGTGCACGTGGGCATATATATTGCACATACACTGTTTGAATAATCGTATTACACACAAAAATGTCTCAGGGAAAATACATTAGCATTCTCGCATTAATCATACCGTGCACTGCAAGTATTTTCTTAAGAGGCAGGACAATACCACAGCAGTTTGACTTCACCACAAAGTGCTTATACACTACATGACATATATGCCCAAGAGAGACAAAAACTAACTCACACTGCAACTGCATCCTTGGAGGCTAATTGTAAAAGCAGCCATTTCTCTCCCTTGCATAATTTATTCTCTCTAGACAGGCATCACTAGTTTTGTCTTGATACTATGGAAAATCTGCCACTACCTGGTGCTGTCATTATCAATTAAGTACCTAAATTAAATTCAAATAATTTCCAAAAAAAATATACATAAAAGAATATAAATTTTACAGATGCCTTTGAGGAGACTACTTAAGAGTTTACTAAGTAAAAAAAAATATTTCTATTTAGAACACTATCAAAAAATCCACTCAATTTCCCTTTCAGTTCTTCCACAGCTGCTGTTATCTGAAAAAAAAACCCACCAACCACCTTCCATGCTATTAGTGTAGCAGTACATATTTTGAGTGCTCACCTCTCCATTCTTGAGGGAGGTATGTTTTTAAAGCAGGTAGCATTCTTCCTGTCTGTGGATTCCCAAGATTTCCCATTTATGAATGAGGTTGAAAGATGCAGGATAGTGATTACTTAGCATTTCATCACTCTGTGGGAAGAAGACATTACTGTCTGGCTGGTCTGAAGTCTAACAATTTACTCAAAGCACAGGTAAGGCTCGCCTATCATGGCCTCAGCACATCCAGCAAGACTCTACTAGTACCAGGGGAGCATCTCTCCTTACAAAAGCCTACTCAGACACCAGCCAAACTGCTTCCCCTCTGGCAGTTAGAAGCAATCAAGTGCCAAATTCCACACTCAGCAATAGGTGTGTAGCCTCACCATTTCCAAAGAGCTACAAATTTCCCTGGCAAGGTATTAGAGAATAATTCAGTCTAACAATGCAAAGAAAATGATTCAGCCTGCTACCTTCACTATGATGGTTTTTGTTTCTCAGCCTGTATCCCCTCCATGACTACTTGCAGTGCTTTATGGCTTGGAAGGCTTCCTGGCACTTTTTGCCAAAATTATATAACCAAACCATTAAAAAATGCTCTTCCAAAGTAGGTGTCTACAACATCTTCCTCACCTTAGGCTAACAGTCTTGTCCCAGCCCTAAGAAGACTGACAAATACCAGAATAGCTACAAGATCTCATTAAACAAGAAAACAGCTAGAAAAATGAACTTGCAATCCTCATGTTTCTTCTTGAAAAAATGAGATAAATTAGGTGCACTGCCTGACTGTATTTTCAATTAACTCTTCAAAACAACATTTACATGGAAACTTTCTTCAATCGTTATGGTTAACTTCAACAAAAGTATCAGAAGATGTATTTGGTTTGTGTGGCAAGGTTTTGGTAGCAGGGAAGCCACAGGGGTGGCTTCTGTGAGAAGCTTCTAGAAGCTTCCCGTGTCTGACAGAGCCAATGCCAGCTGCCTCCAAGACAGACCCACCACCAGCCAAGGCCAAGACCATCAGTGATGGTGGTAGCACCTCTGCAATAATTTAATATTTAAGAAGGGGGTAAAAAACCTGCAGCAGAAGAGAAGAGTGAGAAAATGCGAGAGAAACAACTCTGCAGACACTAAGAGCAGTAAAGAAGGAGAGGAAAGAGGTGCAGAGCTTTCCCTGGAAGACCATGGTGTGGCAGGCTGTTCCCCTGCACCCATGGAGGTCCACAGAGGAGCACAGACCCATCTGCGGCCCGTGAAGGACCCCACGCCAGAGCAGAGGGATGACTGAAGGAGGCTGTGACCCCATGGGAAGCCCACGCTGGAGCAGTCTGTGCCTGAAAGGCTGCACCCTGATGGAGGGACCCATGCTGGAGCAGTCTGTGTAGAACTGCAGCCCCATGGGAAGACTGTCTCCCATGGGGGGGACCCCACGCTGGAGCAGGGGAGGAGTGTGAGGAGCCCTCCCCCTGTGGAGAAAGGAGCATCAGAGACAATGGGTGATGAACTGACTGCAACCCCCATTCCCCATCCCCTGTGCCATTAGTGGAGAGGAGGCAGAGAAATTGGGAGTACAGTTAAGCCCAGGAAGAAGGGAGGGGTGGGAGGGGAGATGTTTTTAAGATACGGTTTTATTTCTCATTATCCTATCCTGATTTGATTGGTAATAAATGAAATTGATTTTTTTTCCTCAAGTCAAGCCTGTTTTGCCCATGACAGCAATTGCTGAGTGATCTCCCTGCCCTTATCTCAGGCCACAAGCCTTTTGTTATATTTTGTCTCCCCTGTCCAGCTGCCGAGCGGGAGTGATAGAACAGCTTTGGTGGGCATCTGGCATCCAGCCAGTGTCAATCCACCACAGAAGAGTTTAATTAAAACAAGAGATGTTGAACATGCCACGTGCTTGAGATATGCATCTATATAATGTAACACAACTTCATCTACATAACATGACAGAGCTTTGGAGATCCACACAATAGAGAAGTTAGTACATTGTTCCCCTCTTCCTCCATGCTCTATCTCAGTTGAGAAGTACATCCTACAGATGTTCACCAGATCATGAATCAATACCATGTTTTGCTGTGCCACATCCATAATATACACAGAACAAATGGGATCAGTATAAAAAAAAATTAAATTTGCACTCCTGTCATTTAAACACACCCAGATTTCTCCTGGCTTAATAAAAGCATGCAACATGTAGGAGTTGTGAAGAAAAAAGTTGCATTTTGAAAGAGACAGAAAAGGATGAGATCTTTCGGCAGGCCTTTTAAGGTAAAAGCTACTGAGATAACTGCACCAAACCAATTCATCATAATTTGCTGCATGGAATATGTACAGCTTCAGTGAAAATCTCCAAAACAAGAAGGTAAAGATCATCTGTTTTGGGGATATGACTACATTATGGTCAACATTCTAGCATATGGTGAATAACACCTGAATAACACTACTGCATTGAGTTTACTTTCCCAGATAAAGCACATTTTGTTTGAATAACTGGTTGCTGATACAATGAGTCACTCGACTGCCTGAAGTACCATCTTGAATACTTTAAAAGGACTGACTGGGAATCACCAAGTACAGTAAGTGTATTTATTTAGGAACAACATGCTTTAAATAAACCGCTGACTCACCTTGTCACGCAAATGATGCTCTGCAGCCTCAATATTCAAAGGATCGTCAAAATTCAAAAGATCCTGGAAAAGAAACAGAGAACATTATAGGGTTCCCACTCACTGCATCATGCAAGGAATCCAAAGCTCTAATGAAGAAGATAATGAAATAAAGCAAGCAGGACCAGCAAGTGTAGTGCCATTTTCTCACTAACTTGATAGGTATCCCTGCCAAAGGTAGACGCAAATGAGTTCGATGATTGCAAACTAAATCACAAGTCAATTAAAGAACAGCAGCAGCAAGGCATTCAACCCCACCTGGTGGAATGCCACACCCAGCCCTGTGACACTTCTCTCTGGCAGTGAAGCATTTCTATTTGAAAACTAAGACAGTTTTAAATCAGATTTTGAATAAACATTCATAATTTCAGAAGGCACAATTCCTGTTGATTTTTGTTCAACTGTAAAATAAATCCTTAAAAAAAAACCTGCAAACAGCCTGGTGATAAAGCAGGAAGAGCTTCCTTAATACCAACTCCATAGCAAAGCAACTTAATTCTCTCTGTAAGAAACAACATAACCTGGAGTCTGACAGACAGGAAAGTTTTAGTGCAATGGGAAAAAAAGGGCTGAGAGAAAATGGAGGGCAAAGACCCCAGGAGCTAAGGGCATGTGGGGGCCAGGGAGCAGAAATAATCAAAATAAATCTCAGGTCTGTCAGTTTAATCTCAATAAATACTAATTTTGGAAGAAGAAAGGATCTAAGGTTAAAACTAAAGGAAAGCAAGATGCTGATAAAAAAGGAATTATCATTAAAAAATACACTGAGTCACAAAACCCCCTATTCTCCCTGCAGCCCAGATTACTTTCCCCAGTTAAGGTTAGCCTGTGACAGCAGTGAAATGTCATCATTTCACAAGTGTGAAAGGCTCGTGTCATTCTGACTTGTTTTCAAGCAACAAACCTCCCATTTCATTCAAACCAGGAGACCAGTCCACCTCATTTTCACTCATTTTCTTCAAGAAACCCCCAAAAGAATCTGCAAGCCCAGTGCAATCCAATGCCAGGTTTTCAAAGCCTAATTATTTATAAGCAGCTGGGTGTGACGGAAATCCAAGAGGCAAGCTGGGAAGCATGGCTTTTACTGGCCATGACAAATCCCCGTGGTCTCTGATGCATGACCATCGCTCTTTGCAGCTGTTTGCCCAACAGATTATTTTTATGTGCAGTTCTGCCTCTGAAGGCACTTCTTTGTACCTCCAGTGGATTTTGCTTTCTTCCACTTACTTAGCATGCAGTGGGAGACTAACTGTGAAATGCAATTACTCTTTGTTGAAAAGCCAAATGCTCTCCAATCTTCTAAATCAATTTACCAAAGAAGTTGACGAAGTAAATCAAGCCTTTGGATGCCAGGAAAGTTAGGAGATTGTAGCCAGTCACTGGCTTGGTCTATGCTAGAGGTTTTAAAAATGCACCGTGATCCTGGTGATAGTGCTGGGAGCACAGTCACTGCTCTGCCCTCCTCCTGCAAGTAGCAACGAAAGGAATTTCTAGCCCCAGCCTGTTTTCTTCAGAGAGAGCAGAGCCCACAGGAATGCTCCTCCAAAGCTTTTCACAGCCTCCTCTGTACACCCTGGAGTGCCCAGGGTGTTCTCTAGAGTTGATGACAAACATGGTGACCAAGTTAGTGTCTTTACTTCCTTTCTCTTGACCTTCCTACCCACCAGTAATGTCTGTGGAAGGGGACCATAATCCTCCCTAGAAAAGGCAGCTTTTATATAGTAAAGACTTAGCCTCTCTCCATTTTTAGTGCAAAACCAACCGTCACATCCTGCCTGCCTCTTGCAGCTACCTGCTCTCTCCTCCATTTTCAAGATGCTCCTGTAGTTATGAGGTACAAGTTTCTTGCTCCTGTCAATCTAAGGAAAAGGGGGAAAATGGGATTCCCAAACAAAATCATATCATTTCTGTAACAAGTCAGGGCTTATGCATACTCCACAGGTGGGCACTGAGGCCCTTGAACAGGAATATGTGTTCAAAACAGGAATGAGACTGCAGGGCAGTCATTAATTTCTAAATATAATTTTTAAAAAACATAACACCAACACAATTCCTTCGCAGAGCAATATGAATTTCGATTTTCTGCAAAGAAGTGGAAGGAAGATCCCAAGTAACTTGTTACCAAAAAAGTAAAAACAATGTACAAAAGAGGTGGCGTTTCAGACCATCTGTATGCTTCTTGCAGTAATATAAACAGAAGCACAAACTGATTTCATACTTGTGCAACACCCACTGAAGCCAAAGGAAATAATGACTTTAAGAGGCAACAGATGGGGTTCACATTAGGTGATGCTGAAACCAAACCAGGCAGGATAAAGGAAAGTGGATATGCAAAATATTCATTTACTTACAGTAAATAAAGAGTTTAACCCCCAGACAACATCCTGCAAAGGAAAAGCACAGTCAGTTAGGCATGCACTTCAGGTGTTTCAAACACATTCACATACTTTATTTTTCTATTAATCCATGAAATTACTGAAAATCACATCTAGATTAAAGGTGATGTTTTGCTAATTTAAATCAAAATATTGAAAAAACTTTCCCATTTCATGGATCCTTGATATTCAGAAGTCATCAAAAACCAAATGCTGCATATTCAAAAACAAGTTCAGAGCTTTCTGTGTGTACAGGAGTTTATTCCTGTTGCTTCTTTGCTCAGGAAGAGGAATAATACTTAGTATATGCCACTAACTGACTGCACTGCTTAGTTAAAAGGGTGGGTACAAACCAATTCAGCAATCCATTCTTAAAATTAAAAAGGTGTCAGCCAAATATTTGGAACTGTGTCAAAATATCAGAGAAATGATTCAGGTGTAGTATGAATATGGAGAAACACCATTCTTATATGAGGATATGTCTGCAATCATTTTACTGCCTTTAAGCGTCTGTTTTAATCACAGCTGAATAGACAGGGTTTGCAATTTCTGCAAACAGGAAGCTTCAGGAAAATATGCCTCCAAATGGTGTCATCAAACACAGCTTATTTTGGGGTGGGCATCTCCAAACGGGTTCTACTAGCGCTGACCTCAGAGCCCACATGCTCCATGCCTTCAAAGATTAAGATCCAATTATTACAGAAAGAGACCTAAAAGGTTCACCTACCACCAACTTTGAAGCTAAGTTTTTCTACCCAGAGCAAATATGATTTTCTTCAGTAGAAGAATAACTAAACTACCCCCTGCAAAATCCCACTGAAGTCAGCACCGGAGCTCACACCTACCAGACAATTAAGGTCAGCATTGCATCTCTTTGCCCTTACAGCCTGCAAGCACTTGACTGCCTACCCATGAAAACCACACTGCCTGATTTCTACTAGTGGGACAAGCACTGCACATTAATCGTTTCATGACTAAAATGTACATTTTACAATAAAGATAAAGCCTCAAAGTAAGAAGTTCCTCTCCATGGCAAAGAACTTTAATAAACAAGCATATTTCAGCCTGTTTCCTGTTCTGGGCCCTCCACTGAGAGTGGTGGACCACAGAAATCCATATCCCTTAAGAATGCTATCCAATTATGCCCTAATGAAAAAGACACGATGTCAGCATTATCCGGACAGCAGCCTCTCACGATTCAATTTTCCTTTGATCTTGCACAAGCAACCCTACTCAGTTTATCTGCTTTTAATAACGTGAATCTGCCCAGCAAAGCTGATATTGTCAGACAGCATTTTCAGTTTCAGCATCTCCTCCTAATGGAGCTTCTGAAACCATCAGGTGTGGCAAAGACAGCAACCCTTTCAAATGTACTCATCATCTTCAATGGCAGCACAGACACATAAACTGCAAAAAAGGACACACCTGAGAACCCAAGAATTACAGTTACCCATACATTTTAAGACATCAGTGCTGAGCAGTCACCCCCACTCCCAAATAACCATCCTGTCGGTTCTTTGGGAAGCATGGGAAAATTAACTATTTCAAATAACAGATGAAAGTCATTATTTTAAGCTTTAAGTTCTGTGCTTGTTTGACTAGAACTACTGTCACAAAAACTGGGCAGAGCAGAGGTTAGCAAAACACGGTATTAAGGAAACCTGTATTAAGCAATGCTGGGGATAAAGTAATTGTACAGTGCAGCGGTGCTAGAGAAAAAATAAGCTGAAGTCACAGATTAAAGGAGGATTTCAGTGGTGTGGAGAGCCTGGAGAGTAGGAACAGGCATGGATGTCTTAGCTTCCATTTCACGCTCCTGTACTGAGGCATGAGATGGTGTGCAGCACAGCGCAGGCTGCCACGGCGTCACCGCTCTTGGGGTCTGCTCCGCTGAGAAGCCCCTGGGTACGCTGCCCCTGGTGTGGATGCAGCCTGAGAACTGACTGAGGCAGGGTGTGTAACCAGGGACAGCTGAGCGTGCCTCTGCCTCCAGCCAGCCACTCTGCTCCAGTGCATGCTCTGACCCCTGAAGGTCAGGAGTCCCTTCCCCTGCTGCCCTCAAAGGCTGTACTGTCCTTCAGGGAGGTAGAGCATATGTTTTGGGAGCGTTAAGAATTTCTTGTGTCCGATTTTAACCCACTATGTGTTTCCCACAACCTTTGATAATGGGACCTTACTAAAATACAGTAATTTGTTTTCTTCCACTTGAAGAAGCAGGAATAAATTAACTTTTTAAGGGTTATCTTTCACCTATACCATGTGACAGCAGATTGCTGCCGGAGAACGTGATGTGGAATTACAATACTGAGTGTTAAAAAATACTCTAAAGAGGTATGAGGAGCTCACGCTAGCACACTGGGGTCTGTCCATTTCTAAAACCCGCCTGAGCACCAAAGTGGCATTTGCAGGGTTGCAAAGTCATCACAGCTGTTCAACCACTTACCAGCATGGCTAAAAGAAACAAAAGAGAAACTCATTCACACTGATTCTGAACTCCTGATGAGTTCACCTTCTCTTTACATTTAACAGTGCTGAAGCCCTCAGTCTCCCAGAGCCTCCCCATCAGGACACCTGCAGATTGTCTCTCCAGACAAAACAACTTCTGCTTCAATACCAGCAGCAACAAGCCGCACCTTACACAAGTAAATG